GATGCACCGAGAGGCCAGAGATGATGAGAGGAGTCAACCAACGTCTTTGAGGACCGACATCCAATCTCTAGTGGATAAAAGCTTTGCCCGACGACCCACCTCACCTTTCACCTTCCAGAGTCAGGATCACAGTAAAACTATTGGAAGTGAGAGTTCTGAGACGTGGAGAGGTACAGTCAGCAAGTCAAAGGGTCACTCGTCGATGACATCCCCAACTTTGGAGAAAAAGCTCCCAAGTTCCTCCTGGGCCCTCTCGGAATTTATTGAAGGATTCCGGAGAAAACGATCAGAGAAAGAGCAGGATGCATTAGGTGCAGAAGACTGGCCCACCTTACCCATCTACCAGACCACTGGCGCGTCATCTCTGCGGAGGTCTTTGGAGACAGTGACACTCCCAGAAAAGCCATCTCTGGAAACTGAGACAGAGAGCCCACGATCCGGGCTGTTAAGGTCCACCAGCCTCAAGTGTCTCTCCTCGGACAAATTAGACCCATCCCTTTCTTTGCCTGCTCCTCCGAAATCAATGCACAGGTCCTATGAATCACTCTTAGAGTCTGAGAAAACAGAAGGCAGTTTCAGCAGGAGGTTAAGCTCATCAGTGGGAGACGGCCCAGGGAAGTTTGCTCAGTCCAAGCTGCGGCTTAGGAGGCCATGTATTGATGCACCCCTAGAGGAAGTAGAGGACCCAGACTTGGGAAAAGAATCCCTGGTCTTTCAGAACCGAAGGTTCTCCAACCTGCTGAATGAGCCTTTGGAACCTGACTTTCTGTCCTGGAAGCTGCCGAGATATGAACAGAAACCCAAAGTGAGTTTTGATGACTATGTCCCAGCCATCCGGAAATCCAGCTCTCCCACAAGAGCCAGGAAGGACAGAGGAGACAGCCTGAAGCCTGGGACCAGTATGAATAAGAGCGAGACTTCTTCAGATTGTCTGTTCTTGGGAAGTAGCAGTGCCTTCCAGGAAAACCTGGAACCCAAGGAGGACACAGGTCACCTGTCTGACTCTTCATCATCGTCGAGCTCCGCCATGTCCTACAGAAGTGCAGACAGCATCAAGAGCCGCCCAGGATCCCAAAAACAAGATGAGGAGAGCGATAGGAGATCCCGACATGGAACATGGAAGGCTGCCGAGAGGCAAGATGAGGTGGAGAGCATCATGAAGAAATATCTCCAGAAATAGGGAATGGCCCAGGTAAAAGGCACCAATGCCAGGTTCTGAAAAGGGGTTCAGAGTAGCAACACTGGTCTCTTGGTTTCATAGAAACCCAAATGGTACGGATGAATCTCATTTGCACCATCAACATTTTTTCTCTTGAGGTATGTTTTTAGCGTTTTCCTATCTGAAATAATTTAGTCTCATCTATAATGCATCAAAAAGTTTTTGCCTAGGTAAAATTTATTTTAAAATAACTTCACAAGCAGGCATTAAATAATAATAGCATCTATATAGCGCTTTCAAGTTTGTGAAGCATTTTGTAAATATTAACTCAATTTTAGTGAGAATCAAGAATGTCCCATGAGTATCACAGACCAGAGCTGGAAAAGATCTCAGAGGTCATCTAGCCCAACCCACTCACTTTACAGATGAGGAAACAGAGCCCCCAGAAGTTGGAACTTACCTAAGGTCACACAGGTACTGAGTCTCAAGAGATGGGATTTGAACTCAGGTCCTCTTACTCCAAATCTAATGCTCTTTTCACAACACCATAATTCCTCTCTGAACAGCTTCTCCCCAACATTTCCCCTAAATGGTCATCTGCCCTCTACTGGAAGACTTTAGTAATGGGGAACTCAATGTCTCTCCCAAGTCAACTTGTTATATCCTTGTCCAACTTTCACTGGTAGGAAAGACATCTTTATATGGAACTGAAATTGTCCTATCTGATGTTTCCAGCTGTGAAACTAAGCAGAATAAATCTCATCCCTTCTGGCCCAAGGTATTTTCCTTCGCACCCATGCACCTTCCTATAGCCTGAAAAACATAGGTATCAAACATTCACCTTGGAGTGCCATAGAAGCCTGGCAACATCTTTTCAGGGTCCCAGCCCCAAACAAATCTTTCCTCTCTTTTCTCCTTTCTCTTAAATATCACTGACTGTGGCCAGATTAGGTCTGAGTTGGGCTCAGTGACCTGTCAGATCCTTTTCATCTTGAAGACCTTACGGTGTATGAAAGACTTTGGGTGGATCACTTCCCCAAGCTGTCCCTAGATTTAGTCATCCATAAAAAGATGGGGTTATACTCTTGGTTGGGTTACACATCTAGCCATGTTCCTGTTGTGATTAAAGGCAGAATTATCTTCTCCCTCATCTTCCATTTCACACCACCACCACAGTGCCCAAGACTGGCATTATTAGCTGCTCCTAAAGGACCTTGTGGATGCATGGACATTTTAAAGAACTATGGTACTAGGAAAGGAAAAACACATTATCACTGATTGGTTTTTTTTGATTAAGCTCTTTTCTACACTTATTGCCATCTCACAGTGGGCAGAACCCTTAGAGGAAAATGGGAAATGGTGGGGAAGAGAAAGAGAAAGAAGTCTGAAGAATACTGTCCCTGCCTCCAGAATGGATCCATGGAGTAGAAGGAGGGAGGACACTTGGGCGGAAGGACACACCTAGGGGTCTGGATTCTTGGAGGCAGAGAAAGGGCAGAATGGACGATAGTGGGACCATGATAATAAGCTCCCCCCACCATTGTGAACAGGCCTTTACAGTCTACAGAACATCCTTTTACATTTACATTCATGTTGTCCCCCCAGACTCTATGAGGGAGGCAGGATAGGGAATAATTTCCAGTCATTTTACAGATGACAGAACTAAGACTCTTGACAATTTTAATGACTTGCTCAAAGCCATGTGTCTAATCGATAACCAAGGCAAGACTGAAATCCAGGTCCCACTAAGGCTCTGTTTTACTGTAGCTTACTCATGGGAAGACAAGAGTGGTTCCAATTTTATGGTCTTGCCTAGAATTAACCATGCTTCTAATGTATCACTGCGAGGAACCTGGAGTGTGGAGGACCAAAGTGGCTTGATGCCTCTCAGGGGACAGCTATTAGAGAGGGAAGTGGTTCTACAGGTTAGGATCTTGTCCACTCCCACTCTTGTTGCCCTGCCCAACCTTTTGGGGGTCAAGGGAAATAATCCACTTCTTCTCTTACCCCTCCACCCCCAGCACTGAGCCAGACTTCCCCCCACAGCTGGCAGAAGGACAAGTCGTAGTGAACTAGGTTTGCAGATCCCAATCTAGTATGTGCCTGAAATCTGATTTCAGGATGAAATGGAGTCCCAGAGAGGGAAAGTGAATTGGTCAATGTTGCACAGCATCTTTAGTAATCGAGTCAGAAACAGAATGAGGTGTCTTTTCCTTTGAGGACTTGAAAGCTCCTTTAAATGCTATTCCTAAACCTCTTTTGTCCAAATTAACATTCCCTCCTGAATTGTAATCCAAGCCATCTAAATTAGTCTGGGAGGAATTTCAAGTTGAATTCTAGAATCCTCTGTAGCTGTACAGTCTTTCCCCCCGGAACTTCAGGAAATGGAGCTGTGACCAAGTGAGGTCAGATGCTTAGAGGCCTGGACCCCCACCTTCCAGGATAGCCCCAGCTGGTCAAGGGGCTCCTTGCCTAGAAGGGTGCCTAGCACCTCTCCTTCATGAAAAAGCCAGAGTTAGATCATTCCAAAGCCTCCTCTCCTCCTCTGTGGCGAGTGGGAACAAGCCATGTCCAAATGAACTAATGTGTCTCAACAGAAGCCTTTTTCCTGCTCTCAATTACCAAATAATGATCAGAGTTTCATTTGCATGATGACACTCTTAGAAGCACTAAGGAAAGAGCGGCTTCAAAGGCCATGGAGAGATGGGATGGCCCAGGAGGGACCAGTGTTTCCTTGGAGACTAGGCTGACATCTTGTGTGGGTCCCCTCTCCCCCACCTATTTTTAAAAGCCAGACCTTTGATGAGGAGATCAGTGAGGGTAATTATCCTAATGAACTAAAAACTATTCCTACATTTCATTTTCCTGGGCTAGTCTTAGAAATGGACAACGTGACCCTATTTCCACATGGCAAATGTGTCCAAGGGAGATGTACTATTGGCTCACAAATATGTAACCACCACCTCCTAACTCTGCCCCTTAAAGCTATGTGACCTTGGGGAAGATGCTAACCTCTCTGGCCCTAATTCTGCTCATATCTATAAGGGGAGAATTTGATGAGGATTATAGATTTAGAGCTGAAAGAATTCTTAGAGATAATTTCCTAATTATACAGATGAGGAAACTGAGGCCCAGAGAAGTTTAGAATTTGCCCAAGGTCACACGTGCAGTGTCATAGGTGGGATTTGATCCCAGGACCCCTAATTCCAGTGCCAATGCCCTGAAGGCTCTTCAAGCTTTGACATTCTCAGTTCCAAGGCTTCTCCCAACTACCTGACATTCCCTGTTCTAAGGCCCCTCCCAGCTCTGACATTTCCTGTTCTAAGGCCCTTCTCCTAGCTCTGACATTCCCCATTCTAAGGTCCCATGCCCATGCTGCTCACTGCATGGTGGTGTGGAAATAGAGTTTTGTTGGTGTCATTCCAGCCCCCTTGGCGGCTTCTAGGCGATAGGAATGGGGTGGGAAGATGTTTTTGATCTGCAGGCATCTTCCTGGTCCTGCCCAATTGGGCCATCTAGGTGGCTGTCCCTACCTCATGCTGGCCTTGTTTGTACATGCATACAGACATAGACCCAGAATCAGACACAGAAACCAATATACATGTCGATTTGACCTCCTCATTCTGGGATAGAGAGAACAAGAGACAGATATAGTCTGTGTCCATCTCCCACCTTGGCTTCCTGTAGACCTGGCTTTATGGGCATAAAGATGCTGAGGGACCTTTGACACTGAATTCTAATTTGTAAGGTATGGATGGGTATAGATGGGGCATCTTCCCTAGCTGTGAGGGAGAATAGGAGCTGGGGCAGAGCCCTTGAGACAGAAGCATGATGATAGTTAAAATCACATTCTTCATCTTCTCTTAGAGATAACAGATTGTTATAGACCATCAGATAGTCTACTCCTTTATTTTGGTTTGCAATGAAGGAAACTGAGACCCAGAAAAGAGAAGAGACTTGACCAAGGTGATATAGCCAGGTGTGAGATCTGGAACCATGGTTGCCTGACTCCCAAGGGTGAGGCATATGAGAGGCAGGATGACTCAGGGGGAAGAGCAGTGGAGGTGGACTTCATGGACCCCCTGTTAGAATTGTGGTTCTGTCCTTGCTACCTGAGCGTGCAGTCAAGCAAGTTGCTAATACTGTCTGGTCCTCACTTTCCTCTTCTGTAAGATGAGGAGGTAGGACCAAATGATCTTGGAGGTCTCTTCCATCCAGATCTATGTAGAAGACCCCATGATAGCAATCATGCCAACTTCTATATCACTTTTCAATTTTACCAAACCTACTTCTCACCAGCCTGTGAAGTAGACATTGAAAGGATTATTGTCCCCATTTTACAGATGAAGAAACTGAGGATCAAGGTGAAGCCACTTGCCCATCTTACAGCTAGGTAAATGTCCTGCAGTAGGATTCAAACCCAGGTCTTCCTGATTTGTGGTATAGTGGAAAGAACTCTGAATTTGGAACACTAAACTCAGAGTCCCAAGAGCAAAATTCAAATTCTCTGCTACTTACAAGCTGTATGACCTGGGGCAAATCCCTATACCTTTCCAGGCCTTAGTTTTTTCTTCTGAAAAAATGGGCAGGTTGAACTTAATGTCTTCTCAGGTTACTTTAAGCTCAAAATCTATGATCTTATAATTTTACTTACTACTTAAGCATGTATTGACATTGACGTATTCTCTGGTCTCAGTTTGCTCATCCCTAACATGGGAGGATTGGATCAGATGATCCTAGTGTTCAATCACTGATAATCAAATGCTCCCATGTGTGGGTGTTATGATGGGTGAAATCTGAAATGACTGAGGAAAGACAGGTTTGTGTATATCCATTTATTATACAAAGCATGCCAATTGCATAACAAATCGGGACCAGGCCCCTCCGCTTGGAACTGGACCCCAAATACAGGGGGAGACAGATTCTTACGCATTAAAAGAAAACAATTAACAGGATATAAACCAGGATATAAGATTAGGTAATCTGATTCTAATTGGAGGAAAGATTGGAGGCTTTATGAGTTGGGAGGAAGAGAGCAAATAGATGCAATTCCCTGAAATCAGAAAAAGAAGTATCCTATTCCCCCCTCCCCAAATGTCTATATTCAATCAAGAGAACAAGGAACTCATTGACCAGTATGGGGCAAATTTTCAGATAAGACATATGTGCTGCTTGAAATGTACAATTGTGAGAAAATCCCTTGCATCAATCTTTGGGTCTGACTGGGTTTCTGGTCAGCATAACTCAGGTCCTTAGTTAAGGGTTTCTAAGCAGCCGGTAGGGGTGGTCCAGCTTTTCAGACATGCAAAGCTAGTTCAAACAATGAAATAAGGTTTTCTCACAGTTCTCATAATTGAATAAAGTTTTCTCACAAGACAAAAATTGGACTAGACCCACAATTGAATAGAAAGAGAACTGAGCTAAAGAATCGAGTCACAAGATGGAATCAGTGAGGTTCACTCAATTCCCACAATTCTCACAGTACAGAAAGTAAGTACCATGGGTGGTCAGCAAGTGGACAGGTGACTGGAATCTTCAGGGAAAGCTTCCTGAAGGAGGTAAGTTCTTGAATGATGAGGAAATGAATCAGCAGAAAGGAGTTGGAGATTTGCCCAGCCAATGTTTGAGTGACCAATTGATTTCCACCAGAGATGACGTTGGCTATTGTTAGCACATGCACAGCGCCAGATGTAAAGGCGAGAGCTGAAAAACTCTGTCCTTCCACTCATCTAACTCAGTGGTATTATGTACCTAAATTTAGATGGTCACTCTTCTGTGGCCCCCAATCAAATCTGAAACAGGTGAGTGTTTCTCCTTGACTTCCTTCATTCCCTTTCCACAGAACCCAGAACCTCTGACTTCAAATCCAAGCTCTTTCCCCTGAACCCACACTGCCTCCCATGGGTACTATGGTCTCCTCTTTTTCCTCCTTCCTTCTTCCTCCCTCCCCCCCCCCCCCCCCCCCCCCCCCCCCCCCCCCCCCCCC